ACCATGTCACCCAAGGTTCTGTCCAACCTGGCCTTGAACACTGCCAGGGATGGAGCATTCACAACCTCCCTGAGCAACCCATTCCAGTGCCTCACCAACCTAACAGGAAAGAACTTCTTCCTTATATCCAATCTAAACTTACCCTGTTTAAGTTTGAACCCATTACCCCTTGTCCTGTCACTACAGTTCCTTAATGAAGAGTCTCTCCCCAGCATCCCTATATGTCCTATATTTGATGCTTTTCTTGCATCTAAAGAAGTCTGAGTATCAAAGAGAGAGCAAGCAGTCAGTAAGTTTTGCGTGTTTAGAGGTTTGGATATCAGTAACACCAGCGAGTTAATTCTCTGTTTATATTCTGCTGTACAAACCTCAGGGAAGCCCGTAATAGCTGATAAGTTTTATGTAACTCTTCAGAGAGCCAAACCAAAGAAAAAAATGTGAGTTTATCTAGCCCTGTCTTTTAAATAGCTACTTCCTAATTGGCAATGCTTAAATCGGGCAATTTTTAGTCTTTTCTTGGAGCTAACTTATGTCTCTTGTTAAAATTAAAAAAAAAAAAAATTAAATAGGGCAAAAATACAACTGAGCCCTCGTTGCATTCTTCCAGCATTCAGAGCCAGATGAAAATCTGCACCAGATAGAAAAGCACTGTTTTGTTCAACCAGTCTAGAGCTAGCAAAGCTCGTACCAGCCTCTGTGTGTAATGGCGCATGAAAGTGATTGTTTTGAAAATAACTCTTTCAGTTTAAAATATTACTGCCTCTCTCCCAGAGGATGCCACCCAGTCAGCAGACTGAAAACACAGATAATTCTAAGCTGCTTCAGGAGAAAGCCCAGTATTTAACGCATAAAATGCCAAGGGGGATCAGAGCAGCTTGAGTTAAGCTCTTGGACTTTACACTGAAACAGCTCAGAGGCACTCACCTCTCTGCCATGACAACTGGGGCAGGCAACTTTGGCAGGTACAAAGAATTGGGGGCAGTGGTATGTCAAATAGCCACAGTTGCCTTCTCAGTTAATGTATCTGAGCAATAAGCATGGCTTTTACCTTGCCCTTTTGGGTTACAGGTTCACAGCATTTGGACAAATGTTGAGGTCTTAACCACTAAATTAAATAGCTAACACACAGGCATCAGGAAAAGGAAGATGGAAAAGGTCCTCAGAAATAAACATTCTGTGTGAAAAAACTCAGATTTAATTCCAAGTTTTCTACATGATGTAACCAAATCTAAAGGGAACATTAAGCTCCTATTTTCTGACTCAGTCTGCTCCAGACAACAACAAAATTTTGCCCACACAATAATTAACTGTTCAGTGGTGGGAACAGTATAGGCAGAAAGCTTTTGCTTTTCGGAATCTATCCATTCTGCATTTCTTTTCCCTTTATAAGAAATGTACAAGACAGTGGCATCCTTCATCCATTAATGGTTAAAGAAAACAGTGACTTAAGCCATTTCTTTTCTTGAAATCTTTACAGTTCTTCTGCTCTGTGATGATATTGATAGTGTAATCTGACCAAAGAAGCCCTTAGCACACTTTCTTTCTAAACATACAATCCACTTCTGTAGCATTGTATATCTGGATACATACTTCCTAATATAAAGCTATCTGTAAATCAGACTGGACTGCTATTTTAGGCAGGCCAGTATATAGCTCCTACACAGAGCAACAGCCTACTTTTTGTTTTAATACTCACTGTGCTATTGTTTTTAAAGCTTTGGATTTTGGCTTGAAATCCAGACCACCATGATTTTAACAGTAAAACTTTCACCAAGTTCAGTCTGATCCAGATTTCAACATAAATACCTAATGTTGCTAATGTGGGATGTGGTAAACTTGATCATCAAGTTTTTTATGGCCACAACAGATGTTCCTTCTTTTAGACCAATGGAAAGCTACCAAACCTCATCCACCCTCTAAAACAAAAATACAAGCATTTGTTTACAACTTGATTCCAGGAATATGAATTGAATTAGCATCTGTGAAGCTTGTTCTTGTTTACTTACAAATAAACATATGCACAAGTCTTGCTTTTCCCAAAGAACCATGATGTTGTCTGAATAGTATTTACCCTATATAAGAAACAGTATTTTTAACAGTCTAATACTGCGTTATAATTTGTTTGGCACAATCAAAATACCAGCATAGTATTTGTGACCTTGTTTTTAAAAAATTCCTTCATTTTTTTTTCTTTCTTTCTTATATCTAGTAGATGAGAACAACATAATTTGTGTATATGCATTGCATTTTGTATACTTATAACTTAGACTGACTACAATACAACATTCTCATAATCATAACCCAGGCACAGCCTATAGAAAAGTAAGATACTGAATATAAGTGATTTTTTTTTTCCTACTGGTAGCATTCAATGAATTTTCAAATGGGCATAAAATTTTGAAATACTGGTGCCTTCTCCTAAAGCAGGAGAAAAACCATGACCGTGTAATAGCTGAACTGACACTTTCTAATATATTGGTATTTTTAATTATTGGATATCTTACTAATGCACGCTTCACAAATCCTCATGGCAGACAAAAAGGATTGAGAGTATATCCTAAAAGTTAGTTTCATGAAGCGATTAAGACTGTGGTCACACGAGTAATTCAACCCTCTGATTAACTGAGATGTCTCGGTTCGAAAAGAGAACAGGAAGCTGTGAGCAGATAACATAATCCCCCAAAGTAATTTTGCTGCTCCCCATGAGTGGTAAATTTTCCCTGGATGAGCCAGAGCTAAGTTTGTCTCACTTTCAGACGCCTGCATTCCTGAGCACTCCCTGCTCCTTCTTCAGCCCTTCAGACAAGCAGCTGTTTTTTTGCAGGCAGTTGCCATAGTGCAATTTGCTCCATGGCCAAGCCTTGCTGTTCCTGTGCCCATTAGCTAAGGCTCAGCTATGGCTCTGAGACTCAGCATCCTCAGCTGTAATGACAAAGCAGCCTAAGCCAGTCCTAGACTAGAACCACTTTGGCTTTGCCCTTCATGTCACAGTCACCCTGGCCATGTGTTGGCATGTTCTCTGCAGTGTGCTGTGCTGACTGCTGTCATCCAACCCCATGCAAAGCCATTTCAGTAATCTGGCAGAAAACTAACTCAGCCAAAAAAGCCTCTTGTTTTCAATTCTCAGATCACAGGCTGCATCACATGGGGAATTCTTTGCATCACGTGCAGGTGGATTAGAGACTGCACAAAAAGTACAGCAGAGGCAGGAGCAAGAAATACAAAACTCTATAATGAACAGTTGTGCCTCAGGGAACCAGGTACTTAGGAAGAAAAAATGTGTGTGGTGTTTTCCGCCCCTCCAAGTTGTTGGGTTTGATGCATGCTTAGAGAGGTTCCTAAAGCATGCTGGCACTACCTTTGGGAACACCTTGCTTGCTCCAAAGGGCTTCCTAGAAATCCCTGAGCAAACAGACCTGAATTATGTGACCCCCTTTGCTGAGTGTGTGCTCCTACAACTGCTGGAAAATAAAAACTGCATGTACCCACATGGTAGTTGAAAGTTCAGCCCATGTTTTTTTGGGTGGGTGGCTTTATTCCACTTGGAAGGATCTGGAGTAGAGGGAAAGAACTGGCCACAACCACAACACTTGCCGAAGTGGGTTACAAGAGTAAAAATAGCTTGTGACAAATATAAGGCATGGGAACCTGAACTCTGCTTGGAGTGACCGAGAATCCTGTAGGGTTTGGGTGTCACTGGGAAAAGGACCTCCCTCATCCTCTGTGGAGGGGGGAAACTTGCAGTTCAGCACAGCAAAGCACCTTTCAGGTGACAAGAGTAGTCATGGGGAAAGGATATAGTGGATAAACCATGATTAAAATGAACAAAAGGTGAATTTCTGGTTATTACATAAATACAGGAAAAACACCAGATTTTGTCCTTTTGTTCCTGTTGACTTCAGGTATGGGTTGGTTAGATAGGCAAGGTCCCTGCTATCTGGCTTGCATCTAAAAACTCCAAACCCATTCAAGTTCTGATAAACTATCATTAGTGATACATGCACATTTTAAACAAATGCCCTGTTAACAGCAGCTTCAGAGAAGGAAAACAACACAAAACCATGCATCTGATCATAGGTCATTATGAAAGTCAGCAAAACCACAGGTAATTACTGCTTGGACTTTTGTGGACATAACTATGCACCCACATGCCATGTGACATATGGGGAGCAAGTCCAACGCTTCACTAGAGAGCTGAGCTTTCTGCACTTGGATGGCGCAGAGGCTCAGACCACATGCTGTGCATGCAGTGCTGCAGATGGCATCAGCTTTACCATGCTTAAACGAATCATAGAATCCACTAGGTTGGAAAAGATCTTTAAGATCATCAAGTCCAACCATTACCTCAGGACTGCCGAGACCAACACTAAACCATGTCACTGAGGGCCTCATCTACACGGTTTGTGGACACTTCCGAGGACGGTGATTCCAGCACTGCCCTGGGCAGCCTGTTCCAATGCCTGACCACCCTCCCTGTGAAGTAATTTTTCCTGCTATCCAGTCTAAACCTCCCCTGGCACAGCTTGAGGCCGTTACCTCTTGCCCTATCACCTGTTAGTTTGGAGAGGAGACCGACCCCGTAAGGGAGGAAACAAAAAGCAGGCAAAGAGGGCTTCCAGTTGAAAAAATGAAGGAGATAACGGAGAAAATCAGGTGTTGCTTTCCAAGCCCTGCAGTGTTATGGCAGACACCGCACTTGAATGCGATCTGTGGAAAACAACACACAGGGTGCAGGCTGAATTCAGTTTGTTTTGATGGTAAAGACACGGTGTGCAAGCAGTGTGTTGAGCCTGCTGTTTCAGTTCAGCGGTGAAAGGCACGAAGCGACCCCACGGCTGCCACCCGCGCCCTGAGCAGAGCCTGAAGCGGGCCCCATCTCGACGGCCCGCTGGGCACGCTGGGACCGGTAGTTCTGATAAGGCGAAGCCTGCAGGCCTTGCCGGGGCAATGAACTACGTTTTCCAGCGTGCACCGCGGAGCGGAGGAGGCGATAAAAGGGGCAGTGAGGGCGCCGGCTCACGTTGGCGGGCAGGTCTGTTGCTGCGGATCGTTGTACGGCCGGCAGGTGCCTCTGGGGCCGCCCCGCCGCTCCCTCATGAGGCCGCACGACCCGCCGCAGGGCGGCCCCGCCGCCGTGCTGCCGGAGCTAGAGATGCTGAAGCAGCGGGCGTGCGAGAGCGTGGAGCTGAACGCGGAGCGGCTCAGCGCACTGAGCCGCGACATCTGGAGCCGGCCTGAGCTGGCCTACGAGGAGCACCAGGCACACGACACCATGACCCGCTTCTTCTCCAGCGGGGAGCTGCCGGGCGCCGCCTGGGCCGTGCAGCCGCGCTACAAGCTGAGCACGGCCTTCCGCGCAGAGTGGGGCACAGCCGCCCCCCCGACACAGGGCCTGCGCCCGCTCCGCGTCGCCTTCCTCTGCGAGTACGATGCCTTGCCCGGCATCGGGCACGCCTGCGGCCACAACCTCATCGCTGAGGTGGGAGCCGCCGCCGCGCTGGGGCTGAAGGCCGCCCTGGAGAGCCTGCCGCAGCCGGCGACCGCCGCCGTCCAGGTGAGAGCCCCGCCGAGGGCGGAGGCTGCGACCTCGGCCCCGGTGGGTCGGGCGTGCCCTGACTCTGCGTTTCTGCTGCAGATCACGGTGCTGGGCACCCCTGCGGAAGAGCAAGGAGGAGGCAAAATAGACCTGATAAACGCTGGAGCGTTTGATGGCATGGATGTGGTTTTTATGGCACACCCGTCGCAAGAAAACGCAGCTTACCTGCCCGATGTGGCCGAGCATGAGTGAGTGAGCACGTTCAGGTGGAAAGGACGGGCTTGTGACTAGCCTTTTCTTCCTTCAGTAAGGGAGCTGCTTTGGGAGGGACTGAGCTTTAGGGCTGGAGACCTTGCAAGTGCCCTTCAGATGAGCTAAGTGTTTGTAGTTAGCTAAGGAGACGAGTTCTGGACACTCTTGAGCCATTATTCAGGAGTGCAATGTTCAGCCTAGTGTTAAAGGTCCCTGACTGCACTGGGATAATCTTGCATGTATTCAAAAAATCCATTCTTTTGATGTTTCAGGGTGTTTCTGTCTGAACATCCATTATCGCATCCGTTAAGGAAAAAAAGAGGGCAGCTGAAGGGGATATCATGGATGATAATTCCTTTCTTTCCTGCTCACCAAGTCATGTAGTCCTCTGTATGCATTTTATTTTAATCAGTTTTGAAAGTGCTTCTGTTACTGCTAAGTTTCTATGGTAAAACAGATGAGGTTAGGAACACTGAGTCTTCCTTATCCAGCTACCTCTCTGTTATATTTCATCATTGTGTTTCTGAAGAGTCTTGACTGGTTATTGTATTCTTATTGTATTATTATTCTTCCAAGAGTTATCCTAACTTGTTTTTTGGTTACTGTACCCTAAGTCTATATAATTTTAAAAATGCAGTTTTCATTGATAATTTTATCTTTCCCTTCATTTCAACTCTTGCAATAGCCTTTTAAGTTTGATAAGTTAAGATTGAGAAATCTCCTTTCAGAGGTGATGGATGTAGGACTCTGCTGTATGATGCAAGTCCTGGATAACCTTTAAACTGTTATATGGAGGCAGCATGGAATTGAAGAGTGAAACAACTTACTACTTCCGAAAGCTTGGAGTACTGAGTTTGTCATGATTTATGTAATTATGAAATTCCAAAGGTACAAGGGCTGTTTCGATAATATAATTGGTCTTTAGTTGTTTCCAAGGAATTTAATCACTAAATTGCTAGTACTACTGTATCTGCAGCCTCTGGAAGCTGGTTTGTGCCTATGGTAAAATTAGCACAGTGCGATAATTGTGGTGGATACATGCCAAAATTTGCTTATTCTTTTTTGCTTATCCTTTGCTTAATCTGCCTATTTATTGTTGGTCAAACAGGATCCACATTCTTCTGCTGATACTCTTAGACTGGTTTAGGGTGGTTTTGTTTTCACCAAAATCTGTTGGGTTTTTCTAAGAGTATGTGCCATCTGTGCAGCAATAGAAGTACAAGAAAAGGAATGCTGAAAGAACTTTTTTTTTTAATAAGCACAAGTTTCTTGGAACGGGAAAAAAGAACTGCAATGAGACTTTCTGCTTGACTTTGTCACCTTCTCTCCATTTTTATTGGAGAATATCTAGGGATCTGTCCTGCTGCCTTTGTGAGTTGATTTGAGGGATTGCAGTCTAATACTTGGGATTTTAATGGATAAGTTTTCTATCTAGGTTTCATAATCATAATAAATTTTAAATATATCTTGTACTTCACAGAATAAGATGTATGGTTGTCTTGGAGGATGAGGAGGAATGGAAAAGGGCATACTTGGGTTGCAGGCAGTAGCAGGAGGTGTTTTCTGCTGCAGCAGTGCACTTTGTTGTATCCTTTGCTGTCCAGTATTTAAGTGCCAGTATTAACACAGCATGGCTCAGAGCGTGAGGGTCAGCTCAGTGTAAGTGGCTAAGTTGGCGTTTGTGCAATACAAGCAAGTTAGGCTTGTCCTCTCTGCCAAGAGAAAAGTTGTGGGGAGCTCTGAGCTTGAAGATGGATTTTTTTAATATGAAAGACTGACTGTTGAGTACAAACAGATTTAGTTAAAATCTCTGCTACTGGCAAAAAATGAATAGTTGTGTATTTGATAAATAGCAGTACCTCGTGTAGTTAACAGTATTTAATATTTGCCTTTCATGTAAAAAGTTTTCATATAGTTAGAAATATTAAGTTGTAGAGCTAATATAAATGGCCCTCAGATGAAGCAAAGCATGAAAATTCAGGTGCAGTATTTTGGCTTCTGTGAAGTTTGAAGATAGCCTTTATTATTAGATCTCTTTCCATCAGCTTTTTTGAGGTGTACAGGGAAAGAATATCAACTTTACACCAGTGTAGTGCCAGGCAAATTGTTTGGTGGTGTTCTGCACAAAACTGAAACATTTCTCTGAACAAAAGGAACTTTTATTTTAGAGGTTTTTTCAGTGAATGGAAAAGAAATAAGTAATGCCTTTTATTTCCTAGTGTGACTGTGAAATACTATGGAAAAGCTTCTCATGCTGCTGCTTATCCTTGGGAAGGAGTTAATGCATTAGATGCTGCTGTTCTTGCATACAACAATCTGTCTGTTTTAAGACAGCAAATGAAACCGACCTGGAGAGTTCATGGTGAGATCTTAATTAAATCTAATGCCTAGCAAGTAAGAGCTTAGGCTGTTGAAATACTAACTTACAAAATCCCACAATTTAAAGTATTGCATTATTGCACTAAATTATTATAGTCTCTTCAAGTATTATGAAATAGCACTATTTCTTTTAAATAGCTTTCGGTCACCTTTAAAATCATGTCAGTGTCCAGTACTAGCTTCTGAAAATAGGCTTATAGGTTGGATTCCAAAGAGGACTGTGGTACCTAGGTAGAGGCTAGGCAATTTTTAAGTGTTTGCACTTGGAAGTTGCAGTTCATAAAGAAAAAAAAGAAGTGCTAAGTTTATTTTGGAACATGGCCTTGAATTCCTTATAGTTAATGTACATGTTCTTGCAAAGGTGTAAGGTTAAATGCTTCCGAAAAAGTGTTACTGCAGGATTTTTTGTAGTAGGCATTCCGTTAATTACATGATATTTATTGAAAGGGTGTCTGGGTTTGGAGTGATTGAAATTTATTTGCTGAAGTACAAAACCGAGCGATGGCAGAAGCCTGTAGTTTTGAGTTAGTAGCCCAATCAACTAGATGTTCACTGGATTGTAGTATTTAATATCTACTAGAGTTCAGATTAGAAAAGTCACTTTTGTAATTAGACATGTTAACCATTAAGCTTCACTCATACTCCTTCAGCATCATGTATTTATTTTTGTACAGTGAGAATGTTTCAGAAGTTGACATGGAAGCTGCCCTTCATCTCTAAACCCAGGTTTCCCTTATTGCACCCAACACAGCTTTTTTTTTCAGGTTGAAATTAAGAAAGTTTGCCATTTCTGCAGGACTTCTGAATGTAGAACTGTTTATTTGGAATACTTGTTATGAGCTAAAAACACATACAGAAGTTCTGAGCTAATCATTATGCCTCTTAGTGCTTGTGCTGTATAATATATATGTGTATTTCTCTCCAGGATATCTGGATGGAGTCTGGAAGCCCTGACTGTTTGCAGTTTTGCTGTGCAGCAATACCCAACTGAATTTCACACCTTGGGCATAGCCTCTCTATCCTATTACTTTGTAGGAAAGAGGGTACTTAATTATGAGCTCTGGTGTGTGAAAGCAGAGTGTTGCAGGTTTAAGGTTGGAGGTGCCCGAGTCTTCTATTGAATCTAAGCATAAACCCCTAAATACTTTCTTCATAGTTTCTAAAAGCTACATGGATAAGGTGGCAAAAATTTAACTATCTGAACAAGCGTCCTAGAAGTAGCACTTCTGAAGTATGGCAAAACTTAAATTGCTTTGTTGATGCATCTGCTGTCATAAGCCTGGTTTTCAAACTGGAAATACTTAAAATACTTTTGGGAAAGTATAAGCAGTCAGAATGAGATTCAATTTTAGGAATGCTTTTTTTAGAACTGTGTGTTGGAGATCTCATGTTGTAGACTTGTAGTAACAGCAGTTGCTGACTGAAGTGATCCTAAGAATCTTAGTTTTAACCCACTAACAGAAACTGAAATAATTTTCTTTACTGAAGTTTGGAATTTCTAAGCCATTTTTTATGTACCTGAATATTGTTGGTTTGAGTTTGTCTGATACTTCATGAGTAAATGTTATGTTGCCCTCTTGAAATACAGGAATGTAGATTTCTTTTTCTATTTAAGAAGTTGTATTAAACAGGTTGTAAAAAAAACAAAACAGTTCCATCTAGAAGGGCAAGCTGGGTGCTATTAGTCTTGTGCAGGCAGCCTACTTTTAAGCTCGATAATCTGTCCAGTCCTTATTGCAGCTGCTTTGAAATTTAAGTGTAAACATACTCTCAGACTCTATCCAGTTCTGTTTACAAGTGGAAATTGTTTACTTACTGAGCTACTTATTTTGAGCAAATGTGTATGGACAGTGTGTGTCCTGCAAACTTGCACGATTGCCTGCTGGTTCCTTTGCTGTGCTTTTCCTTTTGTTGTGGACTAGAACTGATAGTGGTTTAAATCAGCACTTTATTTACTTTATTTGGGAGTGAAAAGTTTTACTTGAGGGGGAGTTCATAGTCTTAATAGGTTTTCTGCACCAGAAGTAAAGATTTGTTGCCCATTTGCCTCCTGATAGTGCTGTCATTTCAGGTTTCAGTGACATGCATCAGTAGCTTTGAGCAGTATTTCCATTTAAAGTAGATAGTTCCTCAGATTCTACAGAAAACAAAGCTTACTCCACATATATAAATTGAGGGTAGGAGGCCAGGGAAACAAGCAAAGCACCCTGTTGAAAGCAACTAGCTGTTAATGCACTGAAATCTAATGTAGAATGGAAGTCTACAATGTTTATTGTTGAAATACTTAGGTACTAAGGCTCTGACATAATTGAAACTATGTACTTGGCACATGTTTTATTGAGGGAATAGTTTCAGCTCAAACTTCACTCTGGAATAAAACTACCTATATTATACATTCCAATATTTCTAAAGAATTAGTACGAGGAATTTAATGAACTTTCTGTGGACTGCAACACGCACATTGCTCCAGTATTGTTGGGCAGTGCAACTTACTCAGTTTCTCTCCAAACTGGCAAAATAAGTTGGAAACCTTTAAAAGTTGGAATCCAAGATAGCCTTTATAAATCTTATTTCAGTGGCAGCCATCTTGCTTTATGACTCTGCATTGAATTTCAGGGCATTAATTACGAATGCTAGTTTGGCTTTAAGGTTTATAACAGATGTCTAACCAAAGAATGTAATGAAATTGTGCTGAAAAATATACACATGTTCCACTTAATCTGATGGGATGAAGAAACTTTATCCACATACTGTATTTTTGACATTCTTCGTATTTCATGCTTGGCTGATGTGTTGGTTTTTGTTTATGTATTTAGTTTTTGAGCAAAGAGTTTCATGGCAGAGCTGAAGATCAAGTAGTTATAGTTAACACTGGTAATATGACTTTTCCCTTTCTGCAGGTGTAATAAAAAATGGTGGTGTGAAACCCAACATCATTCCTTCTTACACTGAGCTGGAGTTCTACTTGCGTGCCCCTTCAATGAAAGATCTTTCTGTTCTGATCGAGAAGGTTGAGAACTGCTTCAAATCTGCAGCACTGGCCACAGGATGCAAAGTAAGAATGTATTAATGGTTGTGCATTTAATATATGAAGGTAAGGTAGGCTGGAATAGGAAATGGAGGCTTAGCAGCATTTATCTGCATGGTATTTAGCCAGAATATACTATTTGTTCTTTTGTTGCTGCGTCCCATCTAAGCAAGCTTTGGTTTATAAATAGAATGACACAGCATCATAGAAGAATCTAGGTTGGGAGAAACTTCTGGAGGTCATCTAGTCTAAGCCTCTGTTTGGAGCAATACCAGTTAGAGCAGATTTTTTGGTGCCCTGTAGTCTTCTGAGTATCTCCAAGGATGAAATCCCCCAACCTGTCTCAAGTGCTCCACCCACCTCATGGTGACCAAGGTTTTTCCTGATGTTTAGACTGTGATGACTGAGCAGTGGAGCAGAGTTTGCCTGGAGAGTCTGTAGTGTTTCCATCTTCGGAGGTACTCGAAAGCTGCCTTGATATAGTCCTGGGCAACCAGCCCTAGATGACCCTGCTTGAGGAGGGGAGTTGAACAAGATGATTTCCAGAGTGGGTTTCCAACTTCAACCATTCTGTGATTCATTTAGCAGTCTTTTTTTTTTGTTTGTTTATTTCCTTTTAGTAAATGGAAATGTTTCCTGTAGCTGGTTCCAGCAATATGATTACCTTGCAGTGTATTGCTAAGATACATAGTTCTACCTACTCTGTAGTTACAGGCTTGTTTAATACAGCTGTGAAGAGAATGTCAGTGCTCAGCAGAACAAATAGGTGTGGTGTATATGAATGTGAGTTAGTGAGATTTAAGGTCTGTTTTAGGTATTGCATGCTGTTTACTGGTATGGCCTCTCCATTCTAGCTAGAAAAGGATTTCAGGAAGTTAAGATCTCTCTTGAAATTTGACATTGGTATGGGTTTTTTACATTTGCTTTCAAACTTCGTGCTGGTGTAAAGTCATTTATGGGTAGGGCTGTGGTACTGGACCTGTTCTAAACAATAGTAAATTTGGTGAAGGCCTAACTTGATTTCTGTGTAGTTTAATAGTACCTGCAGTGGAAACTTTTAGTCAGTTACAGGTGTTGCCTATTTTTGGACATGATATCAGTGAAGTCCACCCTTCTGGAATTTGGCTGTCTAGTGCAAAGTTGATGGAACACCGGCTTTGTTTTGATGAAGGGTAACACTTGGCAGAATGTTGAATTTCTGAAAGAAACTTAGTACTTATGTCTGTTTTGACATGGACTTGATGTATCGATATGTATTTACTTTTTCTGGTCTTTAAATTGGTTTCATTAAACTGGCTGGAGTTGGAGAAAAACTTCTAATAACTCAAGTTTTTTTGTCTAGGTGGAAATAAAAGGTGGTGAAAATGATTACTACAACGTGCTTCCAAATAAGAGCCTGCAGAAAGTTTACAAGGAGAATGGAAAGAAGCTTGGAATAGAATTTATATCCGAAGACTGTATCTTGAATGGTTTGTCAGGTAACTCCATCTGGGCATTTTGTTACAATTTAAGCTTAAGTTGATTAGCTCTTAAGTGTATAAAAGAATGGGATAGAGCTAGGTTAAACATACCTTGGTCAGAGGAAACAGCCAAATTAGAAAGTTGAAGCTCGTAAAAGGATCATACCTCTGGCCTGTGTTTCTGTATTTGTTGTAGAAACTAGGAAATTTTCCCAACAATAGTAATTTTCTGATAAGATTTCTGAAAATATTTCAAATACAAAACAGCTTAGTTGGGGGGAGGTGTGGAAGGATGGAAAGTGAAGAACACTCTTCCTGAGAACATTAAGGATGTGTAATGAATTGCAGCCCATTCTGTTGCTTTCAGTCCTAGTTTGCTGTGAGTGGAGATTGGACTTTATTTTCATGAACCTTGTTTAATAATATTTCCAAGCTTACATATAAACAAATTTGTTAGCATCTGGCTAATATTTGAGAGGGAGTTTTTGAAGAGACTTTAAGTGGAAGTTTAAGCATCTCAGTAACCCTAATTTAAACCTATTTCCATTAACAGGTAATCTTATGCCTCTAACTTTAGTTCATGAGTTCAACAGATTAGTTTTCCAAAGGGTGCTGTTCGAGTAGGTGTTCACTTCTGAGTCTTGACTGTGTCTCAAACTATGTCATTTTCTTGGTCTCTCAGAGCTAAAGCAATAGGAGTGTGAATTCTTGAAAAGTCAGGTGGGTTTCTCATTACTCATAACTTGTTTTTTTTCAGAATCTTTCTGCAGGAGCTCTGTTGAAGTCTTAACCTGCTGATGATATTTTATAGCCTTCACTACTGACCATAACTGTGTATCTAAACATTTTTACTCCACTTACGTCAAAGATTTTCCTTTTTGGGTAAAAGGAAGAGATTGTTCTCAGTAAAAAGTTGTTACTCAATTTCATGACAGCACTAATCTTCTCTATATTAACTGCAAAATATATTTGAGATCTTGGTGCTTGGGGACAGAGTTCTCTATAAACTTTTTTCTTCCTTGTGGTATAAGTAAGGTTTACAGCTTTCCTCATTTAGCCTAAGAAAGGGTCTGAGGAATGTCTCTTAGAATGTTTACTTTAATGAAAATTTTTGGAGCTCTGGTGGTAGCTTCCCTCAAAACACTGGTTTAAGGGTGAAGATCGTGAATACTCGTGATCTTGCATTCAGAGGACTTCTTATGAGCTTAGTACAGACACCTAATTGTAATAGTGCTTTCATATGTAACTTACATGATATGCAAAATGTTAATTCTGAAGTTGCTTAAACTGAAACTCCCCATATGCCTGTCCTGTCCTTAAATTGCTTGTCAAATGTCAGAATGTGCTTGAGCAACTGCTTTTTTTATCTCACACTACAGTAGGCTTTACTGAATTTTCTTCCCACAGCTGGTTCTCTGAATTTTTGCAGTGGGGCTTCAGGAGTGATAACAAACCACAATCTCTAGAGACATAGGAGTGGAATTTTGTATGCTGCCCTTTTTTGGGGGGGGTTGAATGTTTTGTCTCATCTTTTTCAAGACCTCTATTTCTGTTTAGTTTTCATATGGTTTTCAATGTTTTCTTTTAGGATATCAGTTTCTTCTGTTGAAAGGGAAGGAAGATAGCTCAGTTGCTTCTCCATGTCTGTGCAGCAGAAAAGTCCTTAACAGATGAGCATACTCGCTGCCACCTCTACATGGGTATTAGTATCGGTCTGCTCACAGGTATCGCTCTAGGCAGCTAAGCATTACAAAGAATTCCTTCAATCCATCAAATCATACTACATTTTGTGTGCCTTGTGCACACTCTGCTCATTTGGCACACAGAAAGGATGATGTGAGATAATGTGAATCTGAGTTAGCTTTGACCAGGTGGCATAACCTGGTTCTCCTTCTGCTGGTAGCGTGGCTCAACTCCAGGGTAATGATTACCTCCCAAAGCAGATGGCCTAGTTTAGCATGCGTTAGGTGAGGTACCCGCATTTGTAATAACTTTGGTATTTTTAGCAGTCATGGATTTCATGCACAAGACTGGTATAGACGATCTTATGGAGCCAGTATGTTTTGAAAATACCACTTTTGAAGCTTGGGGCTGTGTATAAATGCTTCATGGAATCTTCTGCATTTTCCCTTCCATTCTTGTGTGTGATAATACTGATTTCCATTATGTGTTCAGTGACTTGAAGAGGTTTCTGTGTCAGCTTCAGGATATATTTTTGAGAGGCTGGAGCCCCTAGTACCTTCCTTTTGAAGACAGTGCACAAGTCTATATATTGCGTTGATAATTGTGCAGTTATTTATGCCTCTATAAGGAATTCCAATTCATACATCTCTACCAAGCATACAGATCCAGATGCTTGTATGGAACCCATTGGAGTAATTGACGTTTTAAACATGGCACTAAGTTAATACCACAAAAGGGTGTAACATTTTTTTTTTCTGAAAGAGGGAAAGATGTGACTGTGTCATGTTCATAAAAAGCTGTCTGGATTTTGGCTTGGTAAACTCTCCATCCTACTAGAAAATACCAAGTTTAAATTCTTTACGTTCAGCAAAAATAACTTGTGAACTGGTAGTCGCTTGGATATGGACATAAATTTAAGTGGAATTACATGACCGAGAGCTGGGATGCACTGAAATTTTTAATGCTTCATTTGCTGAGTGAGAGCAGGGAAAAAGGCCAAGAGTCTTTCCAGAAGTATGTGTATTAGGACTTAGTAAAGCAAGTTTAGAACTCTTGGCCTAGTCTGAAGTAGGCAGAACTTCCAGACTTCTGGTTTGTCTTTCCAGACTGACTGAAGAATGGGGCAGTACTGTAGACTACTAAAAATTAAAATAACTTGCTGCTGTGCCGAGAGTTGGATTTTCTCCAAAGGCACACAGATACAGTGTGGGAAAAGATCATGGTTTTGGACAAGTGTTGCCACTTCAGCTTGTAGGCAGAGCAAATAGCAAGCTAGTCTTGTCTTTGATCACATAATGTAGGCTCTGTGGACTTGCTTTTAATAAATATATGTTTCCAAGTAAAATCTATATCCTTCAATCGCGTCATTACTGAATCCTTAAGCGATACCTTCTCTCCATAAAGTATTGTGATATGGAGGCTACCTGATGTGTTACAAATAACTTTAAATCTTAAGAACAGTCACTGTGTAATGGCATTGCTAAAGAAAAAAAACAATAAATCTTGCAGCTCTGATTGGCCTGAAAAAAAGTTAAATGAGATCTTAGTTGGTAATCCCTATTTTCCCCCACTGTGGAACAATGCTTCCTTTGGTATCTGAATTTCACAGTAATTGATATGTTGATTTCTCTGGCTTCTAAATGTTGTTTTAACAAATAGTGGGTTGCCTGTTTGGGTAGAAAAAAAACAGGTGGGGGGGTACTTAGGAAGTAATTGCAAACTCTTGGATGGTTTACTGTGAAGGATCCACTGCTTCTGGATGGAATCAGAGATGTGAGATACCAGTAGCTAACGTAACACTAGCTAGGCATGAAAGCATTAAAGTCTTCACTGTTGCTATTAAGAATTTTATGTCTACAAAGTACCAGCATTATGTCTGGAGTTTAGTCTGATCTTGTTATTTTAGGAGTGTTTGTGCTGCTGAAGATTTCCATAACTGAGAATAATCAAAAGGCACAGGAAAAAAATAGTTGTCCTCAATCTGGTTTTGTTTAAAGATAGATTGTTCGTACTTCAGAGTCCCCTACCTAATGCTGAATATTTGCATATTGGTGAAAAGTGGCTGTAGCAGGAAAATAGCTGAACTACCTGGTCCTCACAAGGTTTGTAGCTTTCATTGTTTCTGAATTAACAGCTTACTCTCAGGAGATGCTTGTTAAAAACTCAACAGTAAATGGAATAGGGACATGCTGGTAAATCTTCCCTGCAGTCCAGTAACTGATTATTGGTCATATGCACAGTAGAGAGCAGCATCTGAAGATTGCTAGTTAGGGAAAACATATTGGTGATGGGGACTTCTGTATGGATGACTCACTTGGTATGCTTTTAATTTAGTATTTGGGGTAAAGGATATTACATTTTAGATAGGGGCTGGATGTATCTTTCATACATTTTCTTACAGCAGTTGAAGCTCTTTAACACTTGTTCATTAAGAAAATTTCTATTCTGCTTCTAGGTTCCACGGACTTTGGAAATGTTACATTTGTAGTCCCTGGGCTTCATCCTTATTTTTATATTGGCTCTGATGCATTGAATCATACTGAGCAGTACACAGAAGCTGCAGGTGAGCGGAAGTGAAAAGGGCTAGAGGTTTGTATTTGGAACCTTTGTGCCTTGTAGTGACTGCTTCCTGAATTTTCACTACAGCAGATCTAGAAATTATTTAAAGTTACAGAGGATTAAAGCTTTCACATGCTTCTGTGGTATTCAGAGGTACTGTGTAGTAAATGTACAAAAATGTAAGTACTAGATCTGAAAGTGGCTACATGTGAAATGGAGTTGCTTTCTTCAAGCATGGTGGGATCTGAGCTGAATATGGACAATTAGCTAACTGTAGAGTTGCAGAAAAGAGCTGACAAAATGTAGAATGTGTGTGTGTGTGTGTGTGTGTGTTTAAAGCTGAATGTATGCGGGAAGGATGACCTCTCCTTGTGCTAAAAGCCTGACTTAGTATGCCATGTAGGCAGAAGAAATTAGAGGGATTATCCCTAACAGCGTATTCAGAAGAGCTTCTAAACATGAACCGAAAGGTGAAAGTAATTTTTACTCCTTAAAGCACGATACTCGGGAAATATAGTATAAAAGGCTGCATTTTCTAAAAAGGAAAATGTGAACACTCACTTCTCTGATTTCAGTCTTATTTATGTCAGTAGCAGAAAGTTGAGTACTTACATGTGAAAACTTGTTTTGAGGCATCAGAAAATAGACATACTTCATGCAAGTAGATTTTTAAGAAACTGTTCTTGCAATTGAAACTTGAAGATCTTATAGAATATGCCTTATGCTAGTGGTTTGTGTCTAATAGTAGTAGTTTAACCTGAAATTTCTCTTACTTTTCTGCAGGGTCACAGAATGCTCAGTTCTATGCTTTGCGCACAGCAAAAGCTTTGGCAATGACAGCACTGGATGTCATTTTCAAGCCAGGTCTTCTAGAAGAAGTCAGGGAAGACTTTAGACAGGTGAAGCTAAAAGAAGAGGGGCAAATAAACCCAGTAGAACCTATCAAAGAATCTGGAGTTGGCGCAGGAGTGTGTGCATCCCATTAAACTTTATTCAGCTTCTCTCAGTAGGACTGACTTCATGGAGATGATGTATTTAAATCCTGGAAGGGGCTGGATAAACCCATAGCTGAAGAAATGTTCAATTTTGGGGGGGAACTTTAGGAAAGGCAAACAGTATCATTGCTTTCAAAAGTGTGCAATTTCATCTATCTGTAATGTTTGCTGTATTCAATATGGTGATGAACTCTGGAAACAAATACATCATCTTTAAGCTGCAGTGTTGAAAAAATGAGTGTTTAGTTCCCTGTCAGTGATTTTCTATGTATTGCTAAAGTAACATTCTTTATAGGGGAAATACGACATCTACCTGAAAATGCTGGTTCTAAAATGAGCTCTGTTCACTTGGCGATCAAAGGCTGAATCAGATCTATGAAGTATTTCTGTCTGGCCAGTCACTTTTTCTTGGGACAAGATAGAGGCTTAAAACCTCAGCTGATTTCACTGGAAAGAAGGGCGTATGTTTGGAAGAATGCCTGATTTTGACAATAGTAACCGCTAGCAATGGAGCAGAACCATTTGTATGGAAATGGCATCTTTAAAGTCTGACTGTCCTGAAATGCATTGGCTTGCCTCCTAACAGTTTTGGAGGTGATATGGAGAAGTCATTGATCAACAAATTGGAAAGCAACTGAATGTTTATTTATTTAAATTAACATGTTTAAACCACTGCAGAGAAATGCATGTGGTCCTTTTTTTAAGTTGTACTCTAAGGCAGTACCAGTGTGCAGACGAGGTGTTCACTAGCCTAGCTGATCTGAAGGATCTCTGTAAATCTAGCTAACAAAGTGGGAATCTTTCTCACAAAGTTGCAAGCCTGGTACTGTGAAGCAGTAAATGAAGCTAACCTTAAACTGGTGTGTGCAAACCAGTAAGCTCTTGAGAAGTTTGCACTGGGGATTGCTTGTGCAGTACCTGGCTTCTCAAACCTGTTTGTTCCCATATCCTGTAAGATAAGTAGATGTGTTAAGTCTTGCCAGTTGTCCTTCCCATGTGTTAATCTGTTTAAGCCTTGTTATTTTGCTTCCCAGAAACACTAATATTGCAGATTTTACCTAGGTTGGTGGTGTATGCGTCCAAACATGTTAGGAATTTTTTTTCTAATTCAGTTTTTAAAGGATCACTTGAGTACGTAGAGAAGGAACTAATCTTTTGTTCAGATACAAATAGCTGAGTCAGAGTGAAAAAGCAGCTTACTGGCTAACGTTTTTCTAAGCATAAGTGTTATAGTAAGCTTCTGATAAGTAGTCAAGCAAACTGTATTCCCCAGGAAGTTGAATTTTTATCAGAACCAGTCTCTAAATGGTAAACTCCAGAATTCTAATAGAATTTCTAATAAGAATTTATATTCTATTAATTTCTACATTCAGTTTCTAATTCTGGAAAGAAACAGATTCCTTAGCTTAACTGTGCACTCCCTCTGCATTTTTGCACACTTTTTAACACAGGCTGCTGTTTATGAATTCTTTTGAGACTTTCCTTTCTTAGAGGGATGACTGTATGTATGACTATACAGCCTCTATATGTTGCATAGACAACAACTTGACAGTTTTTAGACTTTCTGATACTTCAGTCTCTGTGCTTGTAGTAATAGGACACAGACTGTTAAATATATTAACTGCTCGGTGTCCTTTGAAAAAGTAACTGATTATCTAGGAAGTAGAGGCAGTTAAAGGGGTTTGTTTGGTATTACAAGCCAGTTAGTTGAAGAGCATGACTGTAAGTACTCCAGGTTCCAAGAGGGCCTGTCCTTACACCAGTGTCCTTGCTTTCAGTAGTAAGCAATTTTGACAGATGAATACATGAAACAGGTGAGGGTTGGACTTTGAGTTGTAGGTGTGTCCAGGATTGTAAGTTGAATACTAAATCCAACTGAAATTGGTCCAAGGTTTGTCAAAGGAACTTTCTCTGCAATTTTTAACTTAAATTCTGCTAGTTCTCAGACACAGTTACAATTCATTAAGTTCTGTTGGGTTAACAAGGTGGTTTATGAATTTCCTTAGCATAAGTGTATTTTCATTTCCTCCTGCACGAGCTGCTTACCTTCTTGCTTTGCTGTTTTTAAGGTGCAGTGTTGGGATCTTAGTGATTGCGATACATGCTGCATTGTTGTTTCCTACTGGCTGATGCATCCTTTTCAGGTCTCTTTGTCCAGACTGTCTGGCTGTTGGCTGCATTATGCCCAAGATCATTTAATTACGCATTTCTGAATTAAAATCATGTCCTCATTTTATTGTAATTGTTGCTGGAATTAAAATGAAACTGAAGTGCTGATTAAAGATGAGTTGATATCAATAAAGCAGTTTAATTGCGACTGAATTTTCTTGTCTTTTGATTAATATTGGGATGCTGCATGACTTCATTTGAATAGCGTATTTGATTCCTCCCCCCAGTTTGGTATGATTATATAAGAATGAGGATGTGTAAGCTTTCCATTTTGGTCTGCCTAGTGAGCAGGGTTTTTTGTGTTACTGCTCTTCAAGTACAATACTTAATGGTAGTCTATATAGTTGTAGGGCTGTTTTAAAACATGTTAGAATCCATTGAATAATAGGAATGGTGCTTGGGAGGGCTCTCTGGAGAATCTCTGTGAGGCTAAACCTTGTCCAGCCTCCAGCTTGAAGTGGAGTTGTTGCCAGCACTAGGTAAGGTGAGCTTGTCTTCATTTGCTGAATTCTGGAAGCCTTCAAGGGTAGAGACTTTGGACTTCCTCAGGCAAGTTAGTTCTGATTTGTGCCTCAGAACATTCGTTCTTTAGGTCTAGAACTAAAGCAGTTTGGGATTTAATGTTAGGATTTTACTATAACAATGATACTATATATGAGAGAAACTTACTTTCCGTGGGAATGAAATTGGTAATATGTGCTCATAAATCTATGAAAATATCAGGCATGGTTTTTGAGTTACCCTAGCTGCAGTCGTCCCCAAGCTGCCTGTAACTTAAGAATATTGGAATATATGTCAAGAATAGTACTTCTAGCAGTGAATCAAAATGTGTAGGTAATAAACTGTACTTGCCAAAATGATTTTGAACAGCTGAATGTGAGTCACGGAAGGATGAGGTGATTATGTCCAGACTTTGTGAAGAACTTAAAGCCTCTGCCCTATCAACTGCAGTGCTTCCTTATTTAATGTCTTTCCTAAAACTTGAGTAAAAGATAGGTGTGGCTTAAAAAGTAAACCATGAAATGCGATGGATTACTTTTCATGAGAAGATTTGAAGGAGAGAAGTTGTAACATGCTGAGTTGAGCAATGTGGTGTAGAAAGGTCCAGCAGCCTTTCTTCAAACAGTAAATGGGAAGCTGCTACATGTTCTTGTGGATCATACTTCTGAAATCATTTTGTTGCCATTAAGTACTTGGACCTGATTACATTTCTTCACAGGAGCACAATCTTGCTTGTGACTGCAGAGCCATAACACATTAGCTGTCAAAGTGAGTCTTCGTCTTGTATTCACTGAGTGATCTTACAACTTGCTAACAGCTTTCTTTAAAACAGGCTTTTATTTACAACAAAGTGTTTAAGGTTAAAATAAAAAGTCTACATGATTTCCTGTTTTTTCCCTAAAGATTGCCATTTCCTGGTCCTCAAAGTAACAGGCATCCACAGGGCCTTTGTCCACCAGTCTGTCTGGTTGACTCTTGCTGACACCCACATCTTTTTGTCAGGGAGCAAAGGTGCATACCTCTGAAGACTTATTACGCAAAATCTCTGCTAAGGAAACATTGGCATGATTGCTGCAGTTTTAGATTCCTTTAGGCCTTAATGGAAGTTTCTGACAAACGCATCAAGGAGTTTACTCAGCCACACGTGCATTTGGAAGTCCTTATTTAAAAATACAGTGAGAAGCCAAATGCCTCAGAATTAGGAAAGGCTGAAGTCCACATGGCCGTGGATAGTCTTAACAGCTGTTTATGCACCATTATCACATATGATTGTGCTAGTGTACTTATACAAAGTTACCTTTTGAGCTGTTCGGTCTCGAAGGTAATGGGCAAATGTAATCGCAGCCCATTTCCTCTTAGCTTCTCAAGACCATATTGAAGGATGAAAACACAAATGTAATTGATGTTCATCAGAATTACAGTGCTGGAGCCTTGTTCATAACTATTTAATAAGCCCTAAAAAGTCATCAGGAGTTGTAATTTCCCTTGGTTTTCTTGTTTTATATATATACTTTCGTTTTACATATATACTTTTGGTTCTTGGAGGCTGAAACACGCTTCACACCTCATGGACTCTCGCGGAGATCATTCTTTTGAAGACAGAAAATAAACAGTGCTGTACAAATGTAAAGTTTTATTGTGATTTTGAGTGCTTCTGGAAATAAACCCAAACAACTGATTTCTTGTGGCTGGGCAAAGGAGCAGAGTGTTAATGATTGGGTATGAAACTCGTGCTCTGAAAGGCTAGACAACAGAAGGTGGTGTATGTAAATATGTTTAATGAGTACACTTGTTGATAGCAAACACTGCCTGTATATGACATATCCTGTACTTATAGAATACATCTATATACACATTTACATAAGACTGAAAAGGCACTAGAGTTTCCCAAAATAAAATACAAGTAAATTAACAATGTAAATCCAAACATGGTGGTTGGGAAATCTGTTCAGGTTGGTGGGCTCGAAGGGAAACTTTGAAAATCACTTGGGAAGTTAGGAACCAGTCTCTCACTGAAAGCCAGGGAGTTCAGCATGCTAGTTCCCATTTTAATCTTCAGAATCTCCCTTATACGCATACTACTCAGATGCCAAATAACATGTAGCATGAGATTAAGGAGTCTAGAAAGGAATGTACAGTACTGCAGCAAACTACATAGCATTAAGCTTCTTACGGAGCTGGAGAGCTTACTACAAGATCTGGCACTCCTGTTTGTGCTCTTCTTAAATCGTAGGAATAAATGGGTTTTCACAATACTGCGAATCTAAATACATTCCTGTGCAAGTAGCGCCCAAGGAGTCTCGCAGCTTTTTGAGGGAAAAGGTGCCATTATAGCAAAGAATAAGGTAAGGTGGCCAGCCTCTCCTCTGCTTTTGCCAGAGTGCAGAAACCTTTATGGTTTAATCAAATAGACTTTAATTTCTTGAAAAAGTCTACTGAAGAGTAATATGATATGGAGGAAACTTGATAAAGTGAAACCTAGTATGTGTATGTGGGGAAAAAAAAGCAGCTATGTAGAAATGAGTACTAAAACTATCTCATGGATGGGTGTGTTTTAATGGCTTTTAGCTTTTGTGATTTCATCGCATCACCTATGGAGTGTAGGCTGTAAGGGCAAGATGAGCATAGCTTGTTTTGCACATCACGATTTTAGCAGTTGTAAGAGAGGCTGCATATGTTTACATGATGTTTATTTACATAGGGAATTAAATCAATAGCCAGCAGTGATCAAATAGCTGCAAAGTCTGTGTCACGAGCCTGATGGTAGAGTGGCTGATTAGTCAGGCCAGGGCAGGTCTCATGTCAGAAGATTCACTTTCATTTTAGAGACAACTGCTTTGGTCTGATTCTCAGAGCAGCTACATCTGTAAGAGACAACAGCAGCTGCTGTGCAGGGAGTAAACTTGGTAATTGCATGCAAAATTGTATATGGGTTTAAAGTCCTGTTCACCCAAGCCCTCTGTTAGCTTTGTGGATGTAGTTGTACAGCACGTGGCAGCAGACATGCTATACGCTACGCTTTCTGAGACACCTTTGGTGCTCCTCCTATTGTAAAGGCCCCTGATTCCATTCAACTGATTCTTGTCTTCCTGAGCTATTTTATTACTTCTGCATTGCAGATTTTGCCTCTTCCATACGGAATATTTCTACTGACTGGCTGCTCTGCAGAAACCATGATGGAGAGCTAGGACTTGAGTCAATGCCAAGTGCCCTCAGCTCCAGCTGTGTCTCTTTGCTCCTGCTCTGGAAAATGCTGGGCCTGCTTTAAGGTCACAGAGGGATGCAGGGTGCCAGGGAGACAAATGCAG